CCCCCACAAAAAACCCAAACCCCACCCCACACTTACACCTGTTTTCCCGTTAGGACCTAGTATTGTGTCTGACCTATTAGCTTAAAACATCTGCTTCCTCCCCTCGTCCGCACTAAACACACCCATGTTTGCCGCCAGGACATGGTGCGGGCGCTGACCTGTTAGCTTAAGACAACCATCTACGGACATATACCCCTCCCCTCTCTCCCCCTCCTGCACTAAATACACACCTGTTTCACATTTATCCCCCTCCCCACTTGCCGGCACTAAACATACAGCTATTTCACGTTTGGTCTCTTTTAAGGACCAGCGGGCTAAGCTAACCCAGCTTTTGGGGGGGGTTTCCAAAAACCTCGACCTACACCAAAAGTTGGCATGGTCCTACCTATAGGAGAAGTTTGGTTTCATTAGTGTGTATATTTGTTTGTTTATAGAGAAAACTCTCCTTGTCTTTTAAAGAACCTGAAAAAGGGGCATAAAGTTTACATTCTGTTTTCTCAAAACAGCATTATTCGGGATAGCCGAATTGTGCTTAAAAACGACCATTTGTGACCCGTGCTGACAAAATGAGTTACTTCTTGCAATCCACAAATGGAGATTTTGGCCAAAAATCGACACCAGGGCCAATTTTTTTGATTTTCTCTTGATGCCACATTCTTTAACTGTAACCTTGTAACCTGTCTTTTATTTCATATTTATCCTTTGTAAAAACTTCACCTATAAGCGTGATGTATCTATTTCCTTAAGGCCTGAATCCAAGAAGTAACTCATTTTGCCAGCATGCTTCTCGCAAAAGGAAACCCTAAGAAAACATAACATCACAACTGAAAGAGCTGCGGAGCTGGCCTACCATAGAAAACTGCATCTCCCCTCGACGCTTAACGGCAACAGAGGATGAAAAAGAAAAAAAGAAAAAGAAAAGAGCTTCATATTTATCCCCCCCCCCAATCCACCCCCTCCCCTCAAAATCGCCCATACTATACTACTCACAAACCTGTCTTTTCCCGCCAGGACCTGGTGCTGTGGCTGACCCTGGGCATGCACCACATCCCCCACACAGAGGACCTGCCAGTGACCACAACGACGGGAACCGTCCTCTCCTTCTCCCTTCTGCCCTACAACTTCTTCCCCGAGTGCCCCTCCATGAGCTCACGGGATAACGTGTTCATCGGGCACAAGAATCGCAGGGACCCTTCTCAAGGTGAGTGACCCTTTCTTTTTCTTTTTTTTTTATAAGACAAATCAGGATGTATTGCTTGTAACAACAGGGGACATGGGGACATTTAACTAAACATAATAAACTATATCAAACGTCTATCGTCCATATCTCCCCTCCTTCTTTTTTGTCTTTGTTACTCTCTTGTCATACCTCTAATCTTTGGAACTTATATGACCTTATTGTGTTGCAAGTGCCGTAAATCTAAAAAATTCCTTCCTTCCCCAGGAGTCCGAGTGGACCAGTTTAACGGCCCCGACGACCAGTGCGTGTCTCCAAAGTCCACGTTCTTGGAAGATCTGGAGGGTGACCCAGATATCGTTATACAGACCAATAAGCCTCACTTGGTGCAGTGATACACATGGCGCAGATACTCACTTGGTGCAGTGATACACATGGCGCAGTTACTCACTTGGTGCAGTTACTCACTTGGTGCCGTGATACACATGGCGCAGTTACTCACCTGGTGCAATATTTCACTCCATATTATGACTCAATTGGTGTAATGTCTCACTTTATTCATTTAGTTACTCATATGACGTTTTCACTTATTCTACTTACTTGGTACAAGTACAATGTCTCACATGGTGTAATGTCTCATTTTTATCCAGTTATTAACTCATTTGACGTTTTCACTAATTTTACTTACTTGGTACAATGTCTCACATGGTGCAATGTCTCTCTTTATTCAGCTAGCTACCCCTTTACTGATGCTTTAAATTACTTGGTATTATGACTCATTTGGTGTCATGATTCATTTGGTGTAATGTCTCACTTTATTCAGTTAGTCACTCATGTGATGTTTTTACTTATTTTACCATGTACTTACTTGGAACAATGTTTCACATGGTGCAATGTCTCTCTCTTTGTCCAGCTACTTATTCTTTTATTGATGCTCTCACTCACTTGGTATAATGACTCATTTGGTGTAATGCCTCACTTTGTTCAGTTGAGCTACTCATTTGACGTTTTTACTTTTTTAAATTTTTATTTACTTGGTACAATGTTTCACGTGGTGCAATGTCTCTCTTTATTCAGCTAGCTGCTCCTTTACTGATGCTTTAAATTACTTGGTATTATGACTCATTTGGTGTAATGCCTCACTTTGTTCAGTTGAGCTACTCGTTTGACGTTTTTACTTTTAAAATTTTTTATTTACTTGGTACAATGTTTCACGTGGTGCAATGTCTCTCTGTGTTCACGTTGCCCCCCTATCTCGCCGATTGGTGATGTTTACCACCCAGTTTCTTTGAATTTCCCCCAAGATATGATGGCAAAGTGTTAGTCAGCTAGTTACTCTTTTACTGGATTGTTTTAAATTACTTGGTATTATGACTCATTTGGTGTAATATCTCATTTTATCCAGTTAGTCACTCATGTGATGTCTTAACTTATTTTAGGTGTCGGTAGCCTAGTGGTACGAAAACTAAAATGGTATGGGCATGTCACAAGATCCACAGGACTTGCCAAAACAATCCTGCAAGGAACCGTACAAGGAAAGAGAAAGAGAGGAAGGCAGAGAAGGAGATGGGAGGACAACATTACAGAGTGGACAGGAAAGATGATGGGTGACAATCTGAGGAGAGCAGAGGACAAAAATAGATGGCGAGAGCTGGTTTTCCAATACAGTGGTGCCCCAAAGGTTGCCCCAACCACGGGATAGAAGAAGAAGAAAAAGAAGCCTTGTGGTTAGGCTACCGGACTCGTAATCGTGAGATTGCGGGTTTGGGGGTTCGAGCCTCAGCTCGGTCCTACGTCGTGTCCTTGGGAAAGGCACTTTACACGAACTTCCCACTTGGCTCGGTCCTATCGGAGACGGACGTTAAACTAGGAGATCCCGCCTCTTAAATAACATAATAGTGTTGATAGGGGCGTTAAACTCATACCATTTTTAAAACTTATTTTACCATGTACTTACTTGGAACAATGTTTCACATGGTGCAATGTCTCTCTTTATCCAGCTAGTTACTCATTTACTGCTGCTTTAACTTACTTAGTATAATGACTGACCTGGTGCAATGTCTCATTTTATCCAGTTAATTACTCATTTGATGCTTCTACTTATTTTACTTACTTAGTGCAATGAATCACATGGTGTAATGACTCACTTTATTCAGTTGAGCTACCCATTTGATGTTTTCACTTATTGTACAATGTACTTACTTGGTACAATGTCTCTCTTGGTGTAATGACTCACTTTATTCAGTTTTTCATTTGGTGCAATTTACGTACTTGGTACAATAACTTATGTAAGTCTCACTATTCAGTTTCTCATTTGGTGCATTTACTCTCTTTGCACAATGACTTACTTAGCCTATGGTCTTACTTTATTCTGTTTTCCATTTCGTACAATTTACTTACTTGGTACAATGTCTCACTTGGCGCAATTACCCACTGTATTCAGTTACTCATTTGGTGCAATTTACTTACTTGGTACAATGAATTACTTAGGTCTCACTATACAGTTACTTATTTGGTGCATTTTCTCTTTCTGATTAGGTTCAATTTACTTACTTGGTATAACGACTCACATGGTGCAATGCCCAACTTTATTCAGTTTCTCATTTGGTGCAATTTACTTACTTGGTATAATGATTTACTGGATACAATGTCTGACTTTGTTTAATGGTCATGTTCAAAGAACCACCGTCCTGATGGATTGAGAGAGGGAGTGAGAGTGTGAGTGCGTGTATGTGTGTGCGTGCGTGCATGTGTGTGTGTGTGTGTGTGTGTGTGTGTGTGTGTGTGTGTGTGTGCGTGCTTGCGAGAGAGAGAGAGACAAAAAAAAAAAAAAGAGAGAGAGAGAGAGAGAGAGAGAGAGAGAGAGAGAGAGAGAATGAGTGAGAAAAGGGAAGAGGTGGGGTGTCAGACGACAGGTCAAGCACGTGACCCAATTACATGACGTATTATGCTCATATAGATGGATAGCTGACGAATAAACCGGTTACATTCTGTTGGTATTATGTTGTTATTTGTCAGTGCCACGATTAAGACATTTAAAAACCAAGAGGAGTACGATGTTTATGCGCCAACATTGACAAGTACACAATTTTTTTAATTCTTTCTTCTTTTTCTTCTCTTCACTTTTCTTTCTTTCTCTCTTTTGTTCGTTCGTTCTTTTTTTTCTTTTTTTCTTTTTTCTTTCTTTCTTTCTTGCTTTCTTTCTTTCTTTCTATGAATTCCTATTGCTTTCTTTAGAAGTAGTCTTTGATGCTTTCGTGAGTAAGAAAGAATAGGATGGATTTTCCCCTCCTTTTTCTCTCTTTTCATCATACTTTCTTTACTTTATTTCTTTCAATTCTTCCATTCGTTCTTCTTTCGTTGCCCTGATTCTGTAATGTATTATTTTCTTGTGGGTGGTTTGACGGGTGCTCTAGTATAGTTCGCTCCTTCTTTCCTGTCAAACGTCTCTCGTCCATATCTGTCCTCTTTCTTGTCTTTGTGAGCTACTCTTAGCAACACCTCTCTAGTGTTAGTCACGCATACATAAACGTAACACTCCTTCTTTATTTAATTCTTTCCTTTGCTTTCGTCTTTTTATTATTTTGTGAGACAGCGGGGTGGAATCAGGCTCTCGTCAATTTTTGGACCTGTAGAGTTATTGGTATCATCTTAAAGGCTGTTCACTTGTTTTTATTTGGATGAAAAAAATATCCATTTATCTTAACTACAAGTTGAGATATTGGCAAAAGAAGGAGGTGGGGTCACTTGTTTTCAGAGGTAAAATTAGTGAGAAAATGGCCGCCTAAGATTAGTTATTTTCTTACCTTAAGAGTTCGTGGTAACTGAAAATTTACATTTTTTGTGCCTTAATCAACGTTTTTCAGAAAAATCCACTCAGAGATTCTCTCTCTCTCTCTCTCTCTCTCTCTCTCTCTCTCTCTTTCTCTCTCTCTCTCTTTCTCTCTCTCTCTCTCTCTCT